AGTGTATACATATTCTCCTCCCGGAAATCCACAGTCTGCATGGACACACCTGAGGTTTTCATCAGCAGAGAGGCCGAAGAAAATTTCTTTAACCCAGAATTGCTCTGATCTTATATCCTTGTGCATCACTTCTTGCATAATGCCTTATAAGAAAAGTAATGTTTCTTAGGTCACGCTCTTGGAAACATCGCCCTAATTGATTCATTAAATAATGAATATGATAATGTTATGAAAATCTTACATGTATGCACCTTTATCATCATATGAAACCTTTTATACCAGCTGGCTTTTACAGTACCTAGAATTGTGCTGCCCAATGTGGTAGTAATGAGCCATGTGTGACTACTGAGCACTTAAAACACAGCTAGTCTCAGGTGACATGTATTGTAAGGGTAAAACACACACCAGCTTCAGAAGACAATATAAAAAGGAATGTGAAATGTCTCACTAGTAATTTTTGTATTGATATATATTGAAACATAATATTTTAGTACATTTGGCCCAATAATATATTATTTAAATTAACTTCACCTCTTTTTACTTTTTTAAAAGCTGTGGCTACTAGAAAATTTAAAATTACATATGTGGTTCACATTACCTTTCCACTGGCTGACACTGCCTTAGAAAATAGAAACATTTTTCTATATTTGTATTTTTCTATAGCACACAGAAAGACCATATACCCAATGAAAATATTTAAAATATTTCAACATTGTTGACTGAATATTATGGTTGGGAAAGCCAGTGAGTTGCATCTTATTCTCCAAGGTGTTCACACTCTTACTCATGATTATACCTCATGTGTGGGCTCTCCCTACTGTCCCTTCACTATGTCAGCCTATAAATCAAAGAGAACCACACCTCGTAATGCTATGCTTCTACGGATGTTCTAAGGCCCCTTGTTATGTTCTTTTTAGCTCTCCAATTACAAATGCTAATGTGTATTTGTAATGCCTATTTCAAAGCCATCACTCCGATGTAATTTCTGTGAATTTCAATAGTTTTCAGCACTTAGAGACCACAAAGTTATTCCCTGGTGTTGAATCCAATTTGCTAAAGGCATCATCATTGTTTCTCACGACCTAAAATACCATCCTTTGGTGGGCAGGGAAAAAAAGTAGAAGTTAACATCCCTACTATTATCACATTTGCTTCAGAGGAATCTTCCCAGATGTGAAGGTCTATGTAACAAGCTCAGAAATAACCAGTAGAGACAGTGCATTTAATCACTGATAGGAATGAAACTTAAGAGAAAATCACATGCTTTGATAAGTCATGCCATATCAGTGAAATCATTATGCCAGCACGTGGTAGCTTATAATCAACTGAATCTACAGTACACGAAGGGCTTTGAGTTAGCTGTATTTCACATGAGCTGCAGAGAAGGCTCTGGTGCAATGAATTTCAGATAGTAGTCAGAAGACAACCCTGATGGCAGCTGATGTGAAAGTTCCAGTGAGAAGAAAATAAGCAGGATTGGGCAGCACTCTGTAAAGCATGAGTCAGGGTAAAAAAATAGGAAACAACGCCATGGCAAATAAACTGCAGATGCTTCCAATTAGGCAAAAGTGTGCTTGCTCCACTCACACTTGTCATCCAAGGAAAACTGCAGTGAAAATGGATCTGATTTACTCGTCTTTCACGCCATACCAAATGTAACTATCAAAAATGAGCTTTTATCTAAGAAGCTATAAAAAGGCACCAAGAAAGATGTGTGCTCGTGACACTAAGAAGTCATATTTGAATAATAAAGCCTTCTCATTTTGTCATTTTGGTTCAATAGCATCTTTTGAGACTGTTTAGTTTATAGATGCCAAGATATAAGGTACTGAGTGATTTTTTTTTTCCCTAAACAATGAACTCTGCTGACACCACCTTGTCTTTTGCATAACTGCTACCCCAACACTATTTTCTGACTTTTTATTGTAATCTTATTCTAAACACGTGTCAGTTTTTCTCTATTGCAATCTAACCACATATTGTTATTAGACTTAAACTTTGAAACACATTTCTGAACATATCTCCTTAATATTAATAAAAATAAATGATTTACCATTGTCATTTAACAAAAGCCACACTTACTTCCTAGTCTGACCCTTAGGTTTACATTTTGGTTTAATCTACTAGCTTGGCCTTACCATCCATAATCAACTTTGAATACTCCATAGATTAGGCAATTAAGACAGCTTGCTTTGCTACTCTTGTGCTGCCAGGTTCAGCTTCCATCTCTGCACATCCAGCTCCAAGTTCATGGTTCAAGTCAGTTCCACAGCTCTCCCAATAGCTAGAACTCTACAACCTCTGCCCTCAGCATTTTTCTAAGTGCTTAGAAAATGTATTACTGCTATTAACACATATGCACACACATGCATAACACACCCATATATACACACTCAGCTGTAGCAATTATTCTGCCTGAATCAAACCCTAGCTTTGCCAATTGCTAGCTGTTTAACATGGGGCATTACTTAACCTCTCTGTGCCTTAGTTTCCTCAAGTATGAAAAGAAGGATAATCATAGGACTTACTTCAAAGGGTTGTTGCGGGGAATAAATGAGTTTCTGTACAGTGCGGAGAACACTGCTTGATGTATAGTTTGCCCTTTGTAAGTAATTCAGTGTTATCCATAGCAGCAGTCATAGTAAAGGTATTAGTGTTACTGTTATTATTTTTGTATTCCTGGCAGTACTTTTCATGTGATGTCATGTATTGCTCATGATCCACAAACAGTTATAGCAGTAAGTAAAGCAGTAAGTAAATGAGCATAACATAATAAATTTTAAAATGAGAGTACTGCACTAATTTGCTATTACTTTTAAAACCTGCTTTAGGAATGCTCTCTGAATAGTACCAGGACTTATCAGGTACTCTCTAGAAAAAAAAAAAAAACACAATTTTTTTTTTTTTAAGAAAGAACTAAATTAAAATAAAGCTCCACTAACTGGAAACTTGTGGATTAGCTACTTTTAAAAAGTGCATTATTTTAGTGTGCACTTCTGGAGAAGCGAACATTTATCAACATTTATATTTGATATCCTTAACTTCAATAAATGTACACAAAATAAAAATTGAGTTCAGTCCAGTATAACAGTAATGACAACCAAATGGAGTTTTTAAACTTTCCCAATTGACTTTATGCCCATTATCTCATTAAAGTTCTTTTGCTCTAACGAGCTAGACTTATGGGAAAAGGTTTAAAAATAAAGCTGACAGAAAAAAAAAAGAAAGAAAATTAAGTGTGATCTAAAAGTCATCCTCATCCATTCTCTATCAGCGTACAGTAGCACAGGGAACTGCAGAAACTCTTCAGCCTTTGAAAATCAATGTGCATTTCATAGAGAGTTGCTGCCTTTCAGTCATAGCATTTTTCCCTGCTGTCTTATAACTATGTCCGGCACTAAATTTTACATGGCCCCAGAATCCTATTTAATTCTCACAGCTGGGAGACAGGACCAAGTCCAGCCAAATCTGTTTTCCTAGAGTGCCTACAAATCTCCCCTTTAATAATTTATTTTCTCTACTATAATGGTCTCTAACTAAGCTCTAATAGATTTCGTCACACAGTTGCTGCTTTAATCAGAGAAGAGAGTTTTATGGGTTTATTAATCATGTTCTTTTCAAAAGCTGCTGATTAAGCATTTGCCTGATGGTGGTGAGCAGTCAGAAGGTATCATCGAGGCTGTTTGCTCACTGAGTAGCAGCCTGCAGGTAGTTTTCTCACAGGGCTCACAGCCGACGGCATACAGCTAGTGCCAACTAAGCAGACTGAAGTTTCAGCTGCCCGCCCCCCAACCCCACCCCAGCTCCTAGCAACAGATTGTTCTCAGCAATCTTCTCCCCACTATTTTATTCAGCAGGACTATTCCAGCAGCCAATAGCAAAATTCCTTCCTGCTCCCCACATCCCAAAGCAGCTAAATTATTTCTGAAAACTGAATGACATGCTTGGCAAAAGAATGTATTCCACCGTGAGGCGCTACTTACAACAAGGTTTACTTTGGCCTACTCAGGCAGCAGACCCACTAAACACCATCTCCCCGCTCTCCCCGCCTTCTAGGAAAGCGGCAATCTAAGCCACACAGTCCCTTTATGTGTTACAGTCAAGGCACCAAATAACAGCCAAACAATACAGCGAGGCTTCCTGGATTCAAGAAAACCCTTATTTCTCCAAGGCCAATTTACAGGGCACTCATAGGAACACACATTCAGACCAAACACCAAACAAGCTTGAGGTTTTGTTAGAAGACAAGACACCAGGAATAAGTAGCAAGTACTGTTTTTGAAAGAAAAATAAACTCATACTTATTGAATTTTTTTACACTGAAGATAATTGTTTTCTTCAAAATGCATAGCTATCTGGAAGTTCTTCACATTTCTTAGATTTGAGAGCGAATTTCCCTTTTCCCTTATTAGCAAGTAGAGAAGAGTGAAAATATCCCTGGGGTGAATTTAGTAATGATTGGTCCATGACTTGTCTAAACTTTTCTACATTTGGTTTCTGAGCAAATATTGAAAGCAGTATTTCAAATTCTCAACCTGGCCTATGTGTGTTAGATGTCCTTCTTTGACTTAAAATGATCAGATTTCTAAAATTAAAATTTTGCTGGAATTATCAACATTATCTATGTTGATGTACCTCTAATTAATCACTAGAAAATGAGCAATTCTTTGTTTTAGTATGTGTTTTCATATAATGAAAGGTGATTTAAAAATGATAGTAACTAAACTATGGAAAGAATAAAGCAAAAATATTTTTAAATTATCTTATGCTTCTTCAAAATTAAGTTGTTAACCACACAAAGATTTCCTGGGTTAATATTGTAGATATCTGTGCAGATATTTCATCATGTCTATGAAGGTCTGGGGTCTTACATGTTTCTGTTTGTATCTCCTATTTTGAAAGAACTAATAGACAAATCAACCAAAACAGGAGACTTTAGTACGGTAGTTTATACATTGTAGTAAACTAAGCACGGGAAAACGTAATATTAAAAACTAATAGTGCTCGCTTTGCCAACACACATACTAAAATTGAAATGATACAGAGAAGACTAATTTGGCCCCTGCGTAAGGATTACATGCAAATTCATGAGCATTCCATATTTTTAAAACAGAAAATTTAGCCTAGCGTGTGGCAGAACAAGCCTGTCATCCCAGCTACTCAGGAGGCTGAGGCAGGAGGATCACCTGAACCTGGAAGGCTGAGGCTGCAGTGAATGGTGAAAGAGCTACTTCATTCCAGTCTGGGTGAGGGCGTGAGACCCTGTCTCAAAACAGAACAACAAAAACCAAACAACTAATGAAAGAAAGGGTTGTTTTTAAAAGCAGATCATTTTAGTTCTCTCTAATGAATTTATAAAAATTAAAAATTTCTTTTCTTTTATGAGATGTTAGAAAGTCCCAATGCACACATTTGAACTCCTATCCTTCACACCATATTATGTTTTTAAATAAGCAATGAAACATACTGAGTTTAAAAGCTTGGCATATTTAACAGAAAAACAAAACCTCAAACCATGTTTAGCTGGTAATTGAAATAATCATCAGTTACAGTTTTGATATGTGGAGACCATATATGATCTGTTTCAATTGCTGGAAAAATGGTAAAATAAACCTATAGTTTGGCCCATGTTAATTAAAGTATATTTTATCAGTATTATCCAGGTAGTGCCATGAACACTATTTACTGCTATCATTTAAAATATATATTATAGGCCCAGTGTGGTGGTTCATGCCAGTAATCCCAGCACTTTGGAAGACCAAGGCAGGAGGATCACTTGAGGTCAGGAGTTTGAAACCAGCTTGGTCAATATGGTGAAACCCTGTCTCTACTAAAAAAAAAAAAAAAAAAAAAAAAAAAAATACGAAAATTAGCTGCACATGGTGGCAGAAACCTGTAGTCCCAGCTACTTCGGAGCCTGAGGCAGAATTACTTGAACCTGGGAGGCAGAGGTTGCAGTGAGGTGAAATGGTACCACTGCAGTCTAGCCTGGGTGACAGAGCAAGATTCCATTTTAAAAAAAAGTTCATATATATAAAAAACTTGAGAGAGAGAGAGAGAGAGAGAGAGAGAGAGAGAGAGAGAGAGAAAGTCAGCACTCACTCATCCATGTTAATAGAGGCCAAGACTGTACAGATAAATCAAGTCCAGAGATGTTAATTTCTACCTTTACTTCGTTATATACATATAAGAAAATATTTCAGATTTATTTCTGAGTTTTTGTGTTTTGTGTCAGGCATGTCTTAATCTTGTACCTGAGTTTTACAAGAGCTATGAAGTAGTAGAAATTTAACATAAATCAAAATTAGGTTTAAACCTTAATTACCACTAACCCTGGGAAAGTTACTAGCCTTTTAAAACTTTAAGTTCCTCCTCTGTAGAGTTAACACTTACATAGTGGGATTATTGAAAGGCTATGCACATACTAACACATAGTAGGTGCTCATAAATGGGAGCTTCTCTCTATTTTCCGACTTTTCCTATGTCCTGAGTCTCCTCCCCTTCATTTGCTTCTAACTCACTCTTTAGAATTTTGGAGCATACCTGCCATTGCTGACATTTTCAGATGATCTATGAGAAGAAGCAATGAAAGAAGAAATTAAATAAACGTGATTTCGATTTTATTAGTTGAAGTGACCCAAGAGGAACTTTGACATAAAAGAAAGAAAAGCTTTTATAATTACCAAACAAGCCTAAAAGGTATTAGGGTACTAATGGTTTATTTTTTCAGCTAAAGTAACCCAGATTGTTCACATTTTCCATCATTTAGCTTGGTATCTTTAATAAATGTTGGCCAGTCTAACAGTGCTCACATTTCACTTTTGGTTTCTTCTCTTTTAATTTTTTCATCAAACATTTGTTCATATGCATTGTAAAAACAAACAGAAATTAACCATAGCAATGGCTAAAATATAAACCGCAAATTTGACTGAGTCAGCAGAGGTTTTTTTGGGTAACCCCAAAACTCCATGTCTCTGTGTATTTCAGTCCCTTTGTCAACTTATTACATGATAAATGAAACACATCAGAAGAACAGAGTAAAAATTAATCCATCTTAAGAGTTCTATATGCTCTTGGTCAGATCCCTGATCCAAAAGGAAACCTGATCTAGGTTTTGAAAGCACTTTGGTGTCCCAGAATGATTTTACTTGATCAAGTTCCCAGAAAATACATGGTGCGGTCTGACAACAAATTGTCAGAAAGTCAGTGGGGAAGTGCTCTGCTTCTCCTCAATGGAAAACATAAAAATCCTATCTATTTTATTTTCACTTTTTGATATAAGAGTGTTCTCTTTGTCATCAGACATGGATATTTATCATTTATTTTATAGTATGCGTTTTGTATTGAAGTGCAGAAATGAATACAAGGTAGTTTTCCCTGAAAATTTTCTCTAACCTTTCCTTCTTTGTCTATTCCCTTGACTTCTAAATAACTCTTGGTCTGCTTTACCCCTCAAAGCCTGACCTGTAGTGATTCAAGTTTGAAAATAATGTATCAAACATTTTATTCACCATATTAAGCTATGTGTTGGGTATGAAGAATAACAAGGTTAGTTAGCTCTGGTACTCGAGGGATGTCCTGCTTGATTCCAGAAAGCACAGACACAAAGCAGCATGTACACTCATGTATATCATCCATCTTATTCGTTGTATATTTCTTCGAAAATATCTGAAACCAGAAGTGTTTTGGACTTCAGATGTTTTTAGATTTTGAGATATTTGCAGTAAAGATTTACCGATTGAGCAGCTCTAATCCAAGAATCTGAAATCCAAAGGCTCCAATGAGCATTATTTTGAACCTCACATCAGTACTCAAAAAGTTTTGAATTTTGGAGCAGTTCAGAGTTTGGATTTTCAGATTAGGGATACTCAAATTTTATATGCATACATACCTTGTAGGAAAGGATGAGGGAAAATGGTGAAAGAATAACATGACACAAGAAAGAGCCAATCATATTTAGGAAATGGCCAGTGGACGTGCTTCTGGGTCACTAATTTACTCATAATGCCAGAAATGGGATAACTGCACAAGATATTTTCAATGTATTTGTAAGGTCTACTTATATCACTTATTGTCAAGAAAGTGTTTTGGTTTGCTGATGTCTAGACAAGAGATCAAACAACACTTTGACTAAAAAAAATATTGATTGTGGACCTAACTGTAGGGCCAGTTTGTTGGTAAGCCAGGGAAATGATGTTGAAGGAAAGTTCAAAAACTGAATTGTTTAAATAATAGCATTTCCTTTTTTTCTTCCTACCATCTTTCTCAATTTCTGTGATGAGCTCACCAATTAAAAATACATTTTGATCAAGGTCTGAAACTGATATACCTCTCAGAATTTTGGACCAAAAACTATGAAAAAAAAAAAAAAGCCACAGAGGCATGCAACTATTAACTACCCAAATGTGAGTGAATTAGAACTTGCCACACTAGTCCGAAAGCCACAGGCATTCCACCACACCAAAAAGATCTGGAGAACTGATAAACACAATAAAAATGAACAAAGATTGTACATAATTCTGCTGTTGCGTTCTTATTTCAACAGCCATAGAAAGAGCCCCAAGTTTCAATTCAAAGGCCTCCCTTACAAAAATAGCATCCATCTCCTCAGCCTTCCTTGTACTGGTCCTTCAAAATCATCTCAGATGTCACCTCCTCCAAGAAGTCTTCTCTAATAGGCTTGCATTGCAGACTGCAGGGTGTAGGCTTATAGTATCCTTTGCTCATCAGGGCATGAATTTCCCTATAAATCTGCAAACTATTTGTTAATCTCTAAAAACGCTATCCTTTTCTATGCTTGGTGTTTTGAGAAGATTTTGGATTGCTGTTAATATTCTAAAAGGTGGCAAAAAGCACGAATCCAATAGTTCTTTTACTCTATTCCCCCAAGTATCTATTCTCTGAGATTTTGAAATATTTTCCTCATTCCATTAATTCTCTATTTTGCTATAACCACATGGTCCCTACCTCCAAGTAACCTTGACATTTATAAGCTAAAGGAACAATACTATAACAGCCAAGACTGGCCAGACAGGCTTTAAAACTCAGCACTGACTCTGGGATCAGGAAAATCTGATTTGTATGTGTTTGACTTTTGTAAACTAATTGTAACTTAACTTAGATGACTTCACTAAGATTTAATAAAATCCTGTCATCACATTCAGGCTTCAGACTTTGTATGTTTGCTAAATGTGGTAGAATAATCCAGAGTTGGTTTTATTTCTTCAGAGCTTGAGAGACTGTATTATTTGAAAGAGAAGTTTTTGATGGTTAAAAAAGAATACATGTTTCTCTGACATTGGAAAATAAAAGTGGATACAATTATTTTCCTAAAAAGTATCTAGTTACTCATTTTCTAGTTTTCCTGAGTCTAGGAAACTTTCTCTCTAATTTTTCTAAAGTTATAACTGAAATTAATTCCTGAAAATAATATTTGGGATTAGAAGAAGCTTAGTATCTGGAACACACAGGCCTGGAAATGAGAAAATCTTGATCTTATCCAACTTAAAATACTCAGACATATCCTTTTAAAAACTAAATTGATGCCATGACTGTTCTCAAAATGATGCTATAGCTGTTCTCAAAATCATCCAATCCCCATCCAATAAAATCTGGTCTTTGGCCTAGCCTGCCAGGTGTTCCATGATCTGTCTCCATTGCCCAACCTCTCTGCATCCATCTCATTGTTTTCTCTCTACTCTCTACCTCACTATTTGCCAGAGTTAATGCTGCCTCCACTGATTGTTTCTCAAATCACCAGCATGTGCCCACCCCAGAGCTTTTGCACTGATTGTTATTCTGCCTAGGATGTGCCTGGACCAGAAAACTGAAAGGCTTCCCTCTCTACCTTCATTCAAGTCTCTGCACAAATGCCATCTCAATCAGATGAGATTTTCTCACCAGTATTACAATAGTGCCCCTTCTCATTCTCTTTTTTGTTGTTTGATTTTTTTCTTCATAGCACTTATCATTATGTGACATATATATATTTACTTGTTAAAATTCTTTAACTGTCTCTTCAACCCAAATGTAAATTTCACAAAAGCAGAGGATTTTTTTTGTCTCTTTTTGTTTGCTGCCTAGTTCTTGTTTGCTGTTGTTGCCTG